TCGTTTTCATTTTTACTTGTCCAATTCAATGCCATTGATTACATTCGTTATGTTGTACACTGTCACTCTTATCTGTTTTTGTTTTTTCCCATCACCCTTAGCAGAAGTTCAGTGCCCCCTACACAACGAGTCTCTGTTTCTTCCTCCTTCTGCCCTCTGTCTGGTAATAACAAATAAATCTTTCTCTACACGTTTGCCTATTCGAGATAGTTCATGTAAATGGGACCATACAGTATTTGTCCTTTGGGGACTAATTCATTTTACTCAGTACACCATTTTAAGTGTTCCACCCAAAGGGACTAGACCATCATTTGTTCTTTATTTCATCCAGCATCCTGATGCACTCTGCTGTGCTTTGAACTAAGTATGTCCTCAATACGTTTTTGTAGAATTGAATTGAATTGAAAGGCACCACTATCCTTTAAAATAATGCTTTTTACCTAGTTAGTTGTCAGGAGGGATTGAAATGAAACCTTTCCTGATTGGGAGGAGTGACTTCCTGTAAGAGACAGATCAGTATATTATGTGGCAGATATTCTCTGAGACGTGACATTTGAAAGGGGGCTCAGTTTTGGTAGAAATGCTAACAGATAATCTTGGACTGGAGACATCTTTGGGCTCCTATCTCACTGGACTTTCTCACTGGCTTCCCTTGGCAGGTGTCGCAAATTGCCCCGGGCCTTGAAGGATTGGCAGGCTTTCCTGGACCTAAAGAAAACCATCGATGATTTCAGTGAGTGCTGCCCCCTGCTGGAGCACATGGCCAGCAAGGCCATGATGGCGAGGCACTGGGAACGAATAACTGCTCTCACAGGGCACCGTCTGGACGTGGAGAATGAAACTTTCAAGTTAAGAAATATTATGGAGGCACCTCTTCTGAAGTACAAAGAGGAAATTGAGGTACAGTTGGTAGAAAGCATGATGTGATGGAAGATTGGAAGGTCTCATGGGATGTATTTTAGAGCACTGGTACATTCCAGAATGTTGGCTCAGTAAATCAAGCTAGGGCATTCATTCGCTAACTCTTCAGCGAGTGTCTTGTTGCATGTGCCCTGTGTGACAGGGTGTGTGCTAGGTACTGGGATATGGGAATGCATCCCTGCCCTAACAGGTCATTAAATGATTTGTAGTTCTGTGGTAGAATTCTTGCCTTCTGTGTGGGCGACCTGGGTTCAATTACTGAACAATGCAACTCCTGCACGCCCACCATCTGTCTGTCAGGGGGGCCTTGTGTGTTGCTCTGATGTGCAATGGGTTTCAATGGAGCTTCTAGACTAAGACAAACTAGGAAGAAATCCGTGGTCATCTACTTCCAAAAATCGGGCAATGTTCTGATCTGTGCCTGATCATAGGGAAGGTTCAGGGCCAGACAGATTTTTGTTGTGTTGTACATGGGACCATCATGGGTCAGTGGGTGATTTGAAGGCAACTAATCACAACAACCAATGATTTGTGTAATTAAATAATTATACAAAAAAAGGTATAGTGCTAAGCCATGATATCAACAGTTTGAAGGAAAGGTATGCTGTTCTATGAGAGCCTACAAGAAAGAGGTTTGACTTCTTTGGGGGCTCTGGAAGGGTACTAAAATTAGAGAAGGCTGGGTCATGCATGTAGGATTGAGTGATGAAAGTGAGGCAGGAGCATTGAGTTGGAAAGTTTAAAGAAGACAATTTCATGTGGGTAGAACAGCATGTGTTATGGCTCTGAGGTGAGTTTGAGGAACCACAAGAAGGCTGGTGTGGATGGGGTATGGAGGTGAGGGACAGTATGTTGACAGTAGCTGCTAATATAATATTTGACTATCTAGAGTCAACTGAGGCTGGAGAGCTAAGTGAGGCTAAAACAGGTTGTCAATGGAGGTTTTTAGAGTAATAGAATAATGTATTTAAGCAGGAGATGATCTGGTTCAGTTTACACTTTGAAAGATCACCTGTGATAGCAGTGTGGAGAAAGAATTATTGGAGGAGGCTATACCAAGGAGCTCTGGTAGCATAGTGACTAAGGCACTTGACTGCTAATCAGAAGGCTGGCAGTTCAAACCCACCAGCCACTCCTTGGAAGGAAGATGGGGCAATCTACTTCTGTAGTGATACTGCCTCGGAAACCCAAGGAGGGGTCACTGTGACTCAGGTCCAACTTGACGGCACATAACAACAACAACATACCATGCACTGCCAGAATGAACAATTGTGTCCTGGAAGTATAGTCAGAATGTTCCTTAGAAACAAAGATGGTGAGACTTCATCTCACGTACTTTGAGCATGGTACTGGAAGGGCCCAGTCCCTGGAGGACATCATGCTTGGTAAAGTAGAGGGTCAGAAAAAAAGGTGAAGACCTCAGTGAGATGGACTGACACAGTGGCTATGACAATGGGCTCAAATATCGCAACAGTTGTGAGGATGGCACGGGACTGGGCAGTGTTTCCTTCTGTTGTGTGTAGGGTCGTTGGGAATTGGGCCCAACTTGACACCAGCTAACAGCAATAACAACAATGAGAGGGGGACAATGGGGAAACCAATTGGGAAGTTTTAAGAGTAGCCCAGGCAAGAGATAGTGGTGTGTTGAACAGGAGGGGGCAGGGTATTGAAGCTGGAGAGTGGAAGAAAAAGTCAAGAGATCTTTAAAGGGGGTAAAAATGGGCAGAATTTAGCAATGGAAGGAATGTGGTAGGGGAAAGAAGGAGGTGGAGAGCTGAGAATGAACCTGAGTTTTCTTGCTGAACGGTAGATGCATTATGGTATTTATCACTGAGATAGGGACGGTTGGAAGGGGATTGAGTTGGATGACAAGATGCAGAGGTCATGAGTTTGATTTTGGGCTTGAGTTGCATATTTCACAGATTGAGTTTGGAGTTCCCTTGAAATATCAAGTAGAGATGTCCAGTAGATGCTGGGATGTGGGTCTTGCCTGGAGATATAAAAGGTTACTGAATGCATGGGCATAGCTGAGCCTGCCTGGGGAGGGGGGAGTGTAGAGTGAGAAGAGAGTGAGGGCAGGGTTGTGTAATGGCCCAGGAGAAGATGAGGCTACAGAGGCGATCGAGAAAGTGACCAGACAGATGGGAGGTAATGAGGCTGCTAATAATTTCCTCCTATCACACTGAAGTACTTTGGCTTTATAGCCAAATCAGAGACACATTAAATTTGAGTCTGTGACATAAAGTTTCAACATTTAAGAGGCTATCTTATTCATCATCTTTCTTTCTGGATGAGTTTGGTGGTGGGGATTTTATAATTTAAGCTTCTGTTACTTAATCATATCTCTGTTTCCATCTCTATCCTTAGTCTATGTGTACATATACATACACAATTTATTATATTGCTTTGAAAATTTGGAAACATAAATGTTTACTGATGTAGATGACACAAATAGTGAAGAGAGGACCTCTGCTCCCTTAGACTATTTAAGAAGGATGTGTGACTTTCAAGTAATAAAACGAGAGCTTACCCTTTTGCTAGGACATCTGTATCAGTGCGGTGAAGGAGAGAGACATTGAGCAAAAGCTGAAGCAAGTGATCAATGAGTGGGACAACAAAACTTTCACGTTTGGCAGCTTTAAGACCCGAGGAGAGCTCCTGCTGCGAGGAGACAGTACCTCTGAAATCGTTGCCAACATGGAGGACAGCCTGATGGTGTTGGGCTCTCTGCTGAGCAGCAGGTAGGAGAAGCACGTCTCTTTTTCCCTTAGATTTGAGGATGATAAAACACAGATTTCAAGGGAAATGAATAAAAAGTACATCATGAAACTCCCCCATCATTTCCCTTAGCCAATGTTTGAAAGGCTTTTTTGAGTGTTAGTCTTTGGCACAGCACGTGAAATACTTTATTTCATTATCCTCCATTTGTGGGATGCCTCGGAGGCCCTTGATTGTACAAAATAATGCAATGTGTAATTCGCTGCTTGGATTTGGCTGGACATCTTGATGTTGCTTCTGAAAAGCCTCACTGCACATCTGACAGCTCAACAGGTTCCAGGGTCCAGGGGGACGATGAGTCTGACTTCCAGAATCCTCATTCTCCTTGGA